CATTTGGCGCGGCCACAAATACCGGCTCGCTGGGGTAACAATTCGGTTCACACCACTTTTCTATGGTTTTCGTTTCCACATCGACTTTGACGAGCTGTGCGCAGATAGGGAAATATAAAAGTACATACAAGTGTATGTAAGCTCTAAATGTAGACACGGAAACTATGAAATGAAATACTTACAGTTCCTGGATTTTCAGCATCCACATCTGAACTAATTGCATAAAAGTAGCGGTATTTTTTACCTAAAATATCAATTCAAATAAGCTATGAAACCCACACAGGCACAAAACCATTAAACCTACCCAAAAACTTGTCGTAGTGGAAACGCGGTGTCTCGCAACCCCAATCGCAAAGCAACTCTGGTCGCACAAGTATGCTTCGATTACTCAGCTGATACGCCTCTGCCGTGCTATACTCTAATGTGACTAAATTGATCATTGTTTCACCGTCGACTCTCTCTTTCGCCTGCTCTCTTTCGTCAGCACCAACGCTGTACTCTAGCATCTCCTCTTCCTCCAGTTTTTTCAGAGCCATTTTTGTTACATCCTCGTAATTCGACTCGGAGTGCTTCATCTTCGGTGGCGGCTGCAGGCGCGTACTTATGCCCGAAAGCGAGAAAGATTTCGCCACACGCCGCTGATTGGTTGGCCGCTCTTTGAACACCGTCACATCGGCATTCTCAGCGCCCAAGGGCAGCACAAACCGCAATGGGCGTCCACGAAAATGTGACGCATAGTTCGGATTCGATTGCATATTCACAATGGACTCTAAGTACATGCAATTGATCATTTCCGGATCCTTATAGCAGCATATGTCGATCACTACGTGGTTGTCTTCCTCATACTGATTGATAATGTGTAGATAGAAGAAAGCTTCCGATTGAAAAGTGTAGCGTACTTTACCAGTTTTGCGATCCATTAAATGGAACAGCGTTGGCTTATCCTCGAACCATTTGAGACACGAGGCGAGTTGCTCATTGGATACAGTGGCTTTGACGAATTCCGTCAACGAAACGG